TTTTCATAGCCTGCAAGTTGTATTAAAAGTACATATGACATTATACTACAATTTTAGTTGTATTTCATCGAAGACCTTTATTAGACATTGCTCAATCTTAGTTAAACTTTCTTTTTTTCTGAAATCGAAAGCCAGGTAACTTTTTAATCTATGGAAGTCTGTCTTTAATTTGTAGTAGATCTTGGTAACAAACCTCCTTGGGCCTAGATAAAAAAAAGCTATAAGGTAGTGAAATAACAGACAAACATAGTAGTTATGATTGCAAAAAATCACTCTTCCACAAAATCACGGAACACAGGAAAAATTTGTATTGATAATAAGCAAATAAGCAACAGTCTATATTTAAAGATAGTATTCTACTGACTGGTAACAAGCGTTGTATTGAAGCATACAGCAAAACTACCAGAGTTTAATATGTACAAAACACCCTCCTATACCATGTCTTCTAAATCTTGCGTTACGTCTGCAAGCACTCTCACCCCGAAGATTTGTCGAGTCGCGTCCATCTCTTATTTCCGATTGAAGTCTGAGTATGTTAAGGATTTAATAGGAAAATTTTGGCTGTAAATTTAGCTTCTTATTAAATAAATTTTTCCCGGCAACAGTTATTATACTCCAACGCCATGATTATGATGGCTTACATGTTTGATGCATAGTACCCGTTCTTCGGAAGTCTCGTTCAATCGCAGAACGAATGAAAAAGCCTTCAGTCACGTGACAATCAGTATTTTAAAAGAGGATTATCATTATCATCATCATCATCATCATCAGGTATTTATTACAACGTAGACTTAATCCCATACAATAAATTAAGTTATTCCAAGTGTAATTAATCACATTATACTTGGAATAACTTAATTTATTGTATGGGAGTAGCATTCGATCATGAAGTTATCTCTATGCTATACTTACGATCAAAACGAGTGACTCTTGCTTCTATCAATCAAAAATTGAAATGATGAGCGACATTTTTTAAACAATCGTATCAAAGTAAGAGCACTGTATAACTCAAGCATTAGAATGGTCGGCTGTTCAACTGGCATCACACGGGACTTGAAACCTAATCAGAAAGCTTAAGAGGGCCATCGTTGGAACCTGTGAGGTTTACCCAACAACCTATTAGGGTCCTACCAAAAAAATGTGTGGAGATAGATGACAGAATGTAATTGAGGCAAAGTGTGATCCTACTTTGGCTACCTAGATAACTTAACCCTAAGGTAGTTTATATTATAAAAAAATGTATGCTAAAAAAGAAAAATATTGACGTATGCATGATAATCTATTGGTTTAATGATATTTTAATACACATGTATTTAACAATGCTAATCATCATTAAAATCTTGGGAAAAACAAAAAAGAAACCAAGAACATGGAAATCAAAGCTTTTTAGACCTTTTCTTTGCACTTATTTTCTTGTGTATAGCAAATCTGCCTCCATGTCAATCCTTTGGATTACTGTAAACTGTATCTAAAGTATGAAGCACATCTTTTTATACCAACTGCTGATTTTTATGTAGATGAAAATTGTAAATTTCTAGTGCAGAAGCTAAAAAAAATTTCATACTTAGTAAAATAAAAAATAAATATGTTAAGTTTTTTGTTATTATATTGAAGAAAATCATAAAATGACGTCTCCTGAAAAATCTTTTTCCCAGGCTTTTATCGTTGTGGTTTGTATATTTTGATAAGATTCTTTGATAATAACTTTTTTTAAAATGACGTAAGATTATCTAGTAGCTAAGTATTAAAATTTATGGTAGCATACCAGTATTGTTTCTGAAAGTACAGTAAGTTTCATAGATTATTACTTGTATATAACAGCATACAGTTACAAGGAAAAATTTTGTGTTATTAATTACACTTACTACATCTCTTTAAGTAACACTAGCACCATTTTTGAACTCGTTAACTCGTTTTTTATTTAGTAATAACAAACTCTCTTTAATCACGTTTCAGAAAAGTACGATTTATTAAATGTTCATTCCAAAAAACTTAACTACATTAGATATCGCTCATACTAGAAAGTACTAAATAAAACCAAAGTCTGTACAACATACTTACGGTGATCTACAATAATCCCACTAATTTTCTCCTTAAAGTTTTTAATATGAAGATGTTTTGAATATACAAATGTGTGCAGAAGTTAATTTGAACAAAAAGTTCATGAATTCACCGAATGAAATGAATTTTCTTAAAGAATACAGTTTCAGCATTCTTATCTATCAATATTTTTCGTTTTTCTTTCATTTATTAAACTATACATTACCGTATATTTCTCAGCCATTTTTTCTTTAAGCTAACTGAGTTAATTAAATTACTTTTTCCGACAAAATTTTTAGATACAATACTCAGTAGTTATACTCATAAAAAGTTTCAAATGTGTCATTTATTCTATTAGCTTTCATTCTTAAACCTTTTTTATGCACTGATGGAATCCAAACATTCCAAATGACAGTTATTCGAAAACTAAGTAATTATCACAATAAACAATTATTTATCATGAAAATACTTACAAAAACCGCAAAAGCGATGTACAAGTTACTTAAAAATTTTATTTTATTAAATATTTTCTCATTTTACTACTAGTTCAGACATTGATTAGTAATGTATGATTATTAACTATCTAAATCGTTGAATTATATAAGGCTTAAGTTTACAACTTGTTATTCAGGATACTAGGGGAAATAATTTAAGTTCCCTATCTTATTGATTAGATTCTGTTGATACTATAACAGTTGTGTTGTACGATTTATTATGTATAAGTATCTCTTTTATTGAACAATACGTAAATCGGTCAATTTCTTGATCAGTTGTTTGACTCATGACACACGATTAAAAATAATGGAAAAAGGTTATGTTTTAGTCGTCTTTCATATCATTTTTTTCCTTGAGCTCTACTATATGTTACTAAATGTGGGCTTGATTAATTATGAGCAATAATAAAGTTAAGGAGGTTTGGGAGTATCATTTAGAGACTAGAGAGGCGAGGAACGGGGAGTCCCCCCTGCCCTCGCAGCTGGGCCCCCTTTACCGCGCACCTCCTCTTACACTCTACAAACTTGAAACTGTACGAGTATAATTGATTATATTTTTGAAAAATGCCTGGCAAGTCTTGATTTTTTTCGTCGAGCATCTACCTTTTGTACCAAGGTATCTATGAAAACGTTTTTTTTTATTCCAACACATTTAGAATGTACCTTCATTTCAATTAAAAAATTCAAACCTAACCCTGCTCTCTCATAAGAGACCGTGTTAAACTGTCAATGTTTCATAATTTTTTTTCTTGAAAATTCCCTCTGGTGAAAAATCTAAAAAAATTTATGTGCACTCCTAATATGCTCAAATATAACATACATTTTTTTGGCACATTTTGCCATTTTTAACTTTTCTCCCAAACCTCCTTAAGCGACAATACTTTTTTTTCCAATGAAATATCCCATGATCATATTAACAGATTTTGATAACGTATAGTTTTAAATGTTTATTAATGTATGATTGTAGTAGCTCAGCAATAAAAATATAGTAGAGTGCATTATCAAGGATCTATAAACGGGGCTTAAGTAGATGATTAAAAGTGGTTTCTTCTGTTTTTAGGTAAAACCTTAAAAGTTCAGTTTTAGCTTTATTTTGTATCTCTCATTATCACGATGGATATTTTTTTAAACCCATTCAATTTTTTTGTTTATTTGTTTTCTTATCATGTCAGTACATTATAAAAAAATTTTTAAAAAGCGTCTAAAAAACTATCATAGTAGCTCATAGAATAATATGAACTATTTGAAAATTTCCTCCTTAACTTCATAACTGCTTCAAGATAAAAATGTATTTTTTTACCTTATTGAAGATTTTAATACAATTGTTCAATGTACACAATTTTTTTTTTTTTTTTACTCATAAAAATGTCGCTTTACAATGTGCAATACAGAACTATTTAAGACTATGAAAGTGATGGAATTGTATCAAGCGTTCTCATCTCATCTTGTTCTTAAAGATACAGACGCTGTTTCTTAAGTCAGAAAACAGTAAATTAGAGTTTTTCTAATACATTAACTTTAAAATCAAAGTACAACATTTATAACCGATGAACAAAATTATGATCGCTTGTTGAATGGTTATATTTCTTATTTACTATAAAAGAATTTATTAGTTTAAGTTCACACGGTCTTACAATGCAAACAAGAAATTAGTAGATTTACCATTTTTACGTCATATGTTTTACTCTATTTTATAACTCGCCTCTTTTTTTTCTCTCCCCTTTTTTCCCCTATCGCACTTGTCAAAATACCGACAACAGCTCGTCTGCCTTATATGGGCAATCAGTCAGCGTGACGCGAAAGATGGAGCTCACTCGGTAAAAAGGCAACCCAACCGAGAAAGCCAGTCACGATTGGTCTGCCGTCACTATCGTCCACTTTTATCCCGTTCCTCTATTGCTTTCTCTTTTTCGTTAGTACTATTATAATTTTGTAGTGCATCACTTCTCGTACTAAAAGAACGGCCAAGTCTCGTAAAAAATAGTCATGCCCGGTGCATCGAGGAAAAATCGGTGAGAATATCGGTTATCCAGATCAAGAGTGCGATGTTGACCGAAGTGGCGTTAAAAAATCGGAGCAGTCAGTGAGCTCGACGCTTGGCTCTCTCTCGTCGTCACCTGCTCTCCTCCTTCTCCTTCCCCTGCTACGATAAGTATTACTGTTGCTGTTGCAACCCGTGGACGAGTCCTAGCTTTCGAATTTCACTTCTCGCCGCAGTGCGCGAGAGAACGCTGAATTATTCTGATGTTGTGCCTACACTGTTCGGGATTCGTAAATTTGTGTGTTGTGAACAGTGAAATAGTGCCGATTTGTGCGGGCCGATTTCAGTGACAAATTCTATCCGTTGCAAACAAAGTGCTGTTCTCGTTATTGTTGTGGTTGTTCGTTTGTAGCTGCTGTTATTGATGGTAATTTCAGCAGCAAAATTTGTAGTTAAGAAAAAGCTTTTGGGGCATCATATCACGATAGTAGAAGACAGATGCGAGGCTTGGCTGTCGCCGTAGAATCGGCAAAGTGTGCCGAGTACTCGACTACCTCGGCTGTCGTCGAATTTGTTGCTGCTAAAGTTGAGTTGCTCGGCAATGCTTCTCCCAACGATCGTCGCTCTCACGGCAGCGACTTTCTTTCTAAGAGCCGCAGGTGAGTTTCTCCCTACTCTTCTGTCCGTGTTTCAATCTTTATCTCTTTCTTTCATAGGTACACACCTATAGTGCGGTGTATTCGAGCAGCTGTACTTAGTACAGCTTTTTGTGATTACACGCTCATAAACAGTTGCGGGACTCAACAACAAGTAACTAGGAAAGTTTCTTTGAATTTGTACGCTGTTTGGGAGTTACAGTCAAAAACCATTTACTAAAAGTCTTGGAGATCAGATTCTTGTTATGGGACGGTCAGTTCTGATTTGCAGATCGCTGATTTTATTAATCATTTACGGCTAAATTATATGGATGATGAAAACTAATTCTGAGAGGATCAATTGAGATTGACAAGTGCATTATGATTACATATTTTTTGTTATTAGTGCTTTACTTTCAAAGTTTAGGTGTGACTTTATATCTTTACTTATGGATTGTGAGATCCTTGGCCACATATTTAAGATGTAAAGTAACAATCAAGCTAAGCTTTAAGTTACTAAATAGGATCATGTCTCTTGACAATGCATATCATACATTTTTTCAAGCATTGCTATTTTTAAAATCGATACTACTATTTAAAAGTTTAGTACTACTATGTTTTAACCATTTTTGCATTATATCAAGTTTTATTAGGATACTCTTTTATACATGAATCATGTCAGGAGCTCTATTTTTGTGTGATAATTATCGTGCAACCTATATAAATAAAGATGGAGCTATTACTACACGTGATTACGTATACTGTTAAAAAATATCAGTAATTGTGTGGAAAGTATCTTTTGACTAATATCGACTGAAAAAAGGGAATGTTTAATTTTTTTTTAATCCTTACACGCATTTCATATTATTGGACTTATTTTTGTAAAAAGTTTTTTTTTCTCATTTTCTGAAAATTATTTATTTAGAATAACTTCATTAACCTCAGCTGAAATGTCTTGAAATTTTTGGTTACGTTATTTATTTCATAGGTACAATAATACTTATTTTTATTTTTATACATCCTAAGGAGAAAAAAAAATTTGTTTAAAAAATTTGCACCATTTTAAATACAACTCGATGTACAGTGTCTTCCCAAAAATAGTGAATAAAAGTTAGGAAAGATACGAAAATTACGAGCTTTAGGTGGCTTCTGTAGTTGCGAATTCTGGGATTAAAGTTAATAAAATATCGTATGATTGTTGACTTTTCATATCAATAACAGTATTGATAAGTAATCTTCACAAAACCGTGGAGTTAAGAAAAATCAAAGCTTTGAAAAATATTTTTGCCTGGCACATCGTCTGAAATCTTTAACTTATGTTCTACAAAATAATACGTCTTATCTTCATCTTGGTCTGGACGATCCTTTTTGGCTTGAGACACACCTTTTACTTTCACCATGTAATGGGATACGCCAATAAGATCGACTGCGATAAGTACCCAAAACTTGTATGTTTTGCTGAACATTAAAGTTTACCGTTTTAGGCAGGGCCAAGGTATAGGAGTAACTTGTTTGCGTATATATACAAGGTAGTAGACCATAGTAGAATAAAAATTTTTTGTGCGATATATTTAACTCTAACATGAGTCATAGATTTTCTATAATTCAAAATAGATACGAAAACAGCGAAAAAATTGTTTTTTGACGATAAAATAAAGAATTTTAGATTCTACAACATAGTACTGAATATAAAATTTGTAGAACTTTCAAAAATAAAATTTTTCATTAAATAAGGTTATCTCTACAATAACTGATTCTTAACACTACAAGCGGTAAAAATCGTTTTAAAAAAAGCCAAAAAAATCGTTTAATAGCACCTACATTTTCTACATTACATTTTTTGACAAAATTTAGAGAGATCTTATATAAATTAACTTTTTTCTGTTCATCATACAGTCATCCTAACAGAGGATTTAATGAAAATCATTTCATTATTTTACACTTTCTAATAAAATATTAATATAAAACTTGTGTACATACATTGGTAAACTATAAAAACATTCTCAAAACTAAACTCTATAATCAAAACTACACTTTTTGCTCTGCCAATCCTTGGATTGGTCGAGCCTCGTGTGCAAAGTGTACTATTGCATAAAATTATCCGCTTTTTAGAATAAACAATATTTTGCAAAAAATTATCTACTTTTCAGAACAAACAAACTTTTCTTGAATTTGAAATATGTTACGTATGAAATTTTTTATGTCGTAGAAAATTTTTAAAGGTAATGTATCGGTACTAGTTTTTAAGATAGTCGAGTTCAAAATGTCATTTAACGTGATGGACAATAAGGTACAAGCAATAACAGCTTTAAAAACTAAAATTCGTAACAAAGTAAACTCTTTTTATGAAAAATACTGTAGGAACCTTTGAATTTTTAATTTATTTTAGTCTTTTAAAATTATGGTGTGTTGACACGGAATAAAAATTAGTTTATGAATTAGTATTTTTTCTATTCCAAATCATACAACTACAACAAAAAATCATTCTTCACAATAATTTAGTAAATCATTAAAAAAGTAACAAATCTGTTCCTAGCGTTAAACTGTTTCATTGCAAATAAGGCAAAGTAGTTTAAAAAATAAGAGTATTTAACACTCCACATTCATATTAAACTACGGACACTCAAAATAATATTCGTTACAGTAGTACTTACGATTAAAAAAAATCTTAGTAACTTAAACATGATAGATTAGTATTATTGTTATTATTTTAAAGTTAACCTTCACACACTATCATCAACACTTCTTTCCACGAAATGCTTGTATTTTACTTGACAAATATTTAAGAAATTTACGATAGTAAGAGCTGAATCGTCTGGACTAATAAAACACGGACAACCAAGTTACATGAAAATCAGGTTAGCAGACAGCACGCAAAAAAAGTCACGTCACAGCACTGCGTATGCTTACGTACAGTAATGTCATGAAGCATAACAGCACATAGCCAGAAGCGAAGGCGGATTCTGATGTCCGCAGCCTTCACTTCGCGTCTGAGTATAGCATTGTATCTGCTATAGAACCAATTATAGATAACATCGTAATACTTACAGATTTTTGTGCAATGATCCATTTTTTTTTTTTTTCTATTGCTTAATTTGAAACTAAATTTATAACATTGAACTCCTGTCATAACAAGGGTGAAAGAAATTTAAAAGATAATATTGGAGGTCCTCTCACTCTAAAAAAAAAACTTGAGTGCACAAAAGTTATGACTTTTTACTTCTTTTGTACAAATAACAGGGAAAATGGAGCCATTAACAATAAAAAATAATTGCCGATTCTTATGCACAGAGCTTCTTGAAACACGAAAAGTGCGATGACATGGCATCTTAAATTTGCCAGACTTGCTATATTGGCCCATTTAAGAAACAAAAAAAAATTTTTATTCCCCCCCTCTCTCTCTCTCTCTCTCTCTCTCTGCGGAATGATATAGGCTAATGGCAAGTCTGAGAATATTAAGACTATTCAACCACATTTTTATCTCTTGCTTTTTGAAAGTTGTGTGTCTATTTTTTAATTCGTTAATTAATATTCACTCGTAGAGCAATATAACCCTGTTAGAAAGCCTGCAGCTATAATCGAGCTATTGAGCAGTCAGTACAGTGTTAATAATATTGCTAGAGTACACAAAATTTTAAACGGTTGAACTCATATTCGTGATACCTACCATGGTTAAAACTTAACAAAAAATTCATCGTAAGTTTAGTTCAGAGTTTCCGGCTCTTCACTCATTGTATTAGCAGTTGTAACCCAATACAATTTGTCGCCTATTAAAGTTTTTTTTGGACTTTCTCTTGGCAATCGAATGAATGTATATGTATATTACAAAATGAATTTATTAAAAAAATATCATTTTCATATCTTAACATACTAACAATATAGATATGTATATATGGAGCGCGCGGTGTCTCGGTCGGCTAGGTCGTGGATTGGCACGCGGGAGACCGTGGTTCGATTCCCGGCCAGTGCGACTTTCGGGCAAGTACCTCTGTGTATTTTCACATGTGCTTTTTCACCACGCAATGCACCTCAAGGAGGGTTTAGGCGACCTCCCCGCAGCATAATTGCCTAATTTCCCCCTACCCCCCTCCCAGTAATGGGAGGCCTCCCATCCCTCTTCCCTTCCTTCTCCAAAGTGTTAAGTGCCCATAGTAGTGCCCTTATTAAAGGAGCTGGACGTAAAGCACTATAATATAAAAAAAAAAAAATATGTATATATGGTATTATGGACAGACTTTGATACTAGGGTGGCTTGAGCAACAGATTTATGGGTTCAACAATACAAAACTTTATACAAAACTCTTGCTCAATAATTTACGCAAGATGTTTATTTAAATAACGGTAAAACAATTAATAATTGACAATCGATTGTAGGGCCATTTACACCCTAGGTATCAATTTCTCACACGATTTCTTCAATGCCATTTTTTTATGTTCTTGTAACCTCGCAATTTATTCACATTGCATTTTTTTGGTGATTCATTTTAAATTAAGATTATTGAAACATGATTATTTTCTAACCTGGTGATCCATGTTACCAGGGCAAGCACCAAGCACTAGGAGAGACTCTTTGTAATTGCCCTGGTTAGATGCACCACAGGTGGGAAGATAATTTACTTGCTGAGGGCACAGTAAACGACTAAGGTTTAAAAAAACGCCTAAAGTAGAAAGTAGTCATTTTCACACCGTAGCCTATGATTTGTTGGTGCAAAGTACAACTTCAACGCTCGAAGAGGGCGTGGTTGCTGTATGTTTACCCTCGAATTTCTAAGGATATTTATTTTTGTCAAGGAAGCAACAAGCGTGCCGTATGTCACACATAATAATTTAAATACAATTAAATTCATAAGTAACATCAGATGGTATAGCTAACATGGTATTTACTCAGTTAAGATGTCGTCTTCTATGTTTTTCAATATATTTTTGTACAATTACCAAGTTTTCACTTCTGTATCTTTGTTTTACTTATATGTTCCTTTACTTTTGTATCTGTCTCAACGAGAGTACTGTCTAACTGATGATAA